AAGTGTAGAGCTACAAAAACTTTTCAGCACTTTCAAGCGCTTTTCATTTCCTCGCAAACACTTCATCTTCAAATAAAGGGTGTAAGTAAACAGGATATTTTAAGGCTGCTTTGTAAGCCAATAACGCGATCCTTTTCTAGACAAAACGATTAAAGACTGATAAGAAGAAGATTCGTTTTAAAATAATAAAGCATGAAACATACCAACAAGAAACTAGACTCTGTCAAACCAATGTAACGTTGATCAACTAAATTCTCTCAATACTTTCGCAAGCAAACTTGTCTATTGACAACTGTTTCCAAACTCAAGTCTGGATTGCATTTACACCCTGTATTCACAGTTAACCGAGGATGACCGGGGTAGCGTAGCGCTGTGACCGGGGTCAAAAGAGTTTGTTGGACTATTTTTTTAACACCCCTCAAGTCCTGTAGCTTAGTAGCCTTCATAACCAAACTTGTATATTGTCAATCTATTGGGATTGTAAAGCACTCACAGTGCTATATTATTCTCACAAGTGAAAATAAGAAATAGAAAAAATGTCATACATCGACCGGGAATCGAGCCCGGGCCGCATGGGTAAACGCCCCACCGCTCTGCCACTGAGCTATCGATGCACCGGTCGATGTATGACATTTTTTCTATTTCTTATTTTCACTTGTATATTGTCAGTTTCCAAACTCAAGTCTTCAATATTTTTACATCCTGAATTCAGAGTGAACCGGGGCTAGCTACGCGGTGATTGGGGTCAAAGGAGTTCGTTCCACTGATTTTTTAACGCCCCCGACCGCCCGTGGCTCCTGGCCCGCAGCCAGCATGCAAGCTAGGCAACAATCCTCACGCCACTATTGTAACACTTACATAACTTGGAGTCAACCCTTCTGTGGTCCAGTGGTCTGATCTTTTAGCTTGCGATTCTAATACACTTAGATTTTATTATCAAGTCTTGTATTTACACCCTACATTCAGAGTGAACCGGGGCTAGCTGTGCTGTGATCGGCGTCAATGAAGATTGATCCACTGATTTTAAACACCCCGACAACTCGTGACTGTCTGCTACCTTCGCTAGCAAACTTGTCTATCGACAGCAGTTTCAAAACTCAAGTCTTGAAAGCATTTAGATCTTGTATACAGAGAAAACCGGGGCTAGCTGTGATCGGGGTCAAAGGAGTTCGTTCCACTGATTTTTTAACGCCCCCGACCGCCCGTGGCTCCTGGCCCGCAGCCAGCATGCAAGCTAGGCAACAATCCTCACGCCCCTATTGTAACACTTACATAACTTGGAGTCAACCCTTCTGTGGTCCAGTGGTCTGATCCTTTAGTTTGCGATTGTAATTCACTTAGATTTTGTTCTCAAGTCTGTATTAAATCCTGTGTACAGAGTGAACCAAGACTAGCTGTGCTGTAACCGGGGTCAAAGGAGTTCGTTCCCCTGATTTTTTAACGCCCCCGACCGCCCGTGGCTCCTGGCCCGCAGCCAGCATGCAAGCTAGGCGACAATCCTCACGCCCCTATTGTAAGACTAACATAACTTGGAGTCAACACTTCTGTGGTCCAGTGGTCTGATCCTTTAGCTTGCGATTCTAATTCACTTAGATTTTGTTCTCAAGTCTGTATTAAATCCTGTGTACAGAGTGAACCAAGACTAGCTGTGCTGTAACCGGGGTCAAAGGAGTTCGTTCCCCTGATTTTTTAACGCCCCCGACCGCCCGTGGCTCCTGGCCCGCAGCCAGCATGCAAGCTAGGCAACAATCCTCACGCCCCTATTGTAACACTTACATAACTTGGAGTCAACCCTTCTGTGGTCCAGTGTGGTCTATCTATAATCCTTTAGTAATTTACTTAGATTTTGTTCCCCAGATCTAGACACACGGCAGTGTGTCCGCCAAGTTCGAGCAAAAAAAGCGACACACCGGCTGTGGGTTATATTACACAAACCATTTCGGGCCAAGTTCGACCCACCTATAACTCAAAATCTATTTTATCTACGCATATGAAATTTCTAGTATCTGTCGAGATCTACTTACTTATCTAAAATACAAAATTTCATTGATGTACCTATTGTAGGTCTTGAGATATTGACGTCAGAAAATCGCTATTTTTACTATACACTCACTGACTGACTGACTGACTGACTGACTCACTCATCAAAAACCTAGACCACTTCCAATGGTCGTATTGACTTGAAATTTGGCATGGAGGTAGGTCTTTAGGTCAAGGTAAAGGAAAAAATCTAAAAATGGCCAAGTGTGAGTTGGTTTTAAAAATAATGAAGGTGTAAATTCATACCCCTAAGGAACTAAAACAAAAAATTTATCTTTATCTTCCAATCGTCGTACCGACCTAAAATTCGTTACGAAGGTTTGTATTTAGTCAAAGTAAAGTATAAATGAGATATATATTTCCTTACCTAACTTAATCATAAGAAAAAGAAAATAAACCTTACAAAATAATGAAATCACCCAAAACATAAATGTGAAAAGTTCGATAATATTGGAATGCTTCGCCTATAAAGAAGTGAGAAATAAGTACCATTCCATACACAGACCTCAGTTAAAAATAGTTACAGGAATGCACACTTGATTTTCCGCAGTTTGGAAAGTAGATTCTTATTTCCAAACTGCGAAAAATCAAGTTTGCATTCCTGTAACTATTTTTAACTGAGGTCTGTGTATGGAACTTGGTACTTATTTAGATCTCACTTCTTTTATAGGCGAAGCATTCCAATATTATCGAACTTGGCAGCCTTTCACATTTATGTTTTGGGTGGGATTTGTATTTACACCCTGTATTCAAAGTAAATCGGGGTCATCTGCGCTATGATCGAGGTCAAAGGAGTTCGTTCCACTGTTTTTTTAACGCCCCCGACCGCTCGTGGCTCCTGGCCCGCAGCCAGCATGCAAGCTAGGCAACAATCCTCACGCCCCTATTGTAACACTTACATAACTTGGAGTCAACCCTTCTGTGGTCCAGTGGTCTGATACTTTGGCTTGCGATTCTAATTCACTTAGATTTTGTTCTCAAGTCAAGTCTTGTATTTACACCCTGTATTCAGAGTGAACCGGGACTAGCTGTGATCGGGGTCAAAGGAGTTTCTTCTACTGATTTTTTAACGCCCCCGACCGCCCGTGGCTCCTGGCCCGCAGCCAGCATGCAAGCTATACACGCCACTATTGTAACACTTACATAACTTCGAGTCAACTCTTCTGTGGTCCAGTGGTCTGATCCTTATGGTTGCGATTCAAATGTATTTCCATTTAATTTAGTTTCAGTAAATCAAATCTTAAAACATTCCCCGTGATAGGTATAAAATTTTTAGACAACTTGCAAAATTTATCACAGGATCTGAACCTGCGACTTTCGGCATCAGTACAGAACTGCCGACGCCTTCAACAAATGAGCTACCGCGGCTCAATTCTGCGAATTAAGCAAGTGTATCTTGGCAATGGAAATTGAAAATGTTAGTATAAATAACACTTTTTCATGCCTCGTAGTGCAGACCGAACAGAGGCATTCATGGTAAAATAATCTATCAGTGTTCTAGGCTGGCCGTCCACCAACGAAAAAAAGAACTCTGTAATTCTAGAGCACGTAGAGACACCTTGTTGGGACGCTGCCACTGTCTGCGGTGAAAAATTGTTTTCGGTAAAGTTTGGGGGTAATGGGGGAGAAAAGATATAAGGACAACAGATTTGGAATAAACAAGAGACCGTTGATGTTGTTGGCAACAGAACGGATTTCAACGTAGAGCTCCTTGTAAAAGTTTTTTTTTTTTGTTTCCACCCTAGCTAAAGAATTCAAGTGTCGCAACCAGTCGCAATGTTTCTTGAGCGCTGTGCGATTTTGTGCGGCAAAGCGTAGTTTTCTTCATATGCGCATGCATTTCTTTACTTTCCTACATAGAGCACAAATAAACTCAATTTCCAGCAGTAATAAACCGATATTTGAAAGATACTATCATGATTCAACAGCAGATCATTCAAGTTATAGCTGTTATAACACAAAATAATCCCCGTCGCTGTTGCAAGTGCCTCTATTCACGAAGCGTATTGAAATCTGCTGAAGCGGAAAACTGAATTCAACTCTGTCAGCAGATGCTGCGAACTTGAAATGTAGGTTTTGTACTGGTCTAGATCGGGAATGCGCCTGTTTTAAACTCTTACGTAGCATGGAATTGAAAATATTTACCGCTATAGTGCGCCTTTTAGTTTTGAATTTCTAAAACTTCTGTCTTGAGTTTCTGTAACGCACTGGCAGGTTGTTGAGCGTAGCGTTGGAAAGCCCTCCGGCTAGATGGACCGGTGACTTAAAGAATACGACTGGTAGCGACGGGATTACTCTGGGGGAGTCCTACGTTCATCGTGAACTGTTAATGTGGTAGATTTGTATTCTCCGCGCTAGTCGTCATATATCATCGAAGACCTTCCCTGCATATACGGTCGGTCGGGGTCAAAAGTGCATTACTCTGTGCATATCGAGGACCGCCTGAAATAGTTCAAAACTACATTACTTTAGTAAATCATTTCAACATAATATGTTGTCTATTCAGCTAATAAAGTAAAAATCATCACTGTATACCTTAGGAATACAGTAACAGTTATTTTTAAGCATTTACGGAGGTCCTAGGAGCTCCTAGGTATGCTCTTTTGACCCTGACTGTACATTCCAATGGGTAATAGCTCAGTCAGCAGGTATTCTTGTTAATTCTAACCTGATATAAAATCCTGTTCCACTAACATACATTTAGATTAATGGACCCGAGTAATCACTGCTTTACATATTCAATACATCTGGTATGTGATTCTAATACTAAAGTGGCTGATGTAGGTTCTGTTAATAGCAGTTACAAATAATGTTAGGCGTGAATACGTATAAAGTCTTAGTTGTTTTCGGCATAATATTTAGGTACTTAAGTGAGTTTCGCAAAAAGTCAAAGGAAATTATTACTAAACAGATATACCGAATAGTCAAAATGAATATTTGAAAATCTTGCAAAATTTTTCCACCCCAGGTAGGATTTGAACCTGCGACCTTCGGCTGTACTGCCGACGCCACTACTAACTGGGCTACCGTGGTTTCATTCTAACCTCCTTAGTATTCATTTAATATGAAAATCTTATATGTATCGTTATCGTTAATAGTTAGAGAGTCTATTTCAACTCTATCTATTGTAAGTATCTCTATAATCCTAATCCAAACTACGTAACAAACTTTGAAGATCGTATTATTATTAAAGTTTGTGCCACTACACGTAGTTATGGTAGTTATGGTTGGAGTATAAAAGTTGGAAAGAAACAACATTTCAAGTGTAGATAACAGATTGAAGATACTGTATCGTGCTGGGTTAAGGGTGAGGGTAGGCCGATGACTTTTAATGCGCAAGTTTAGGTAAGCTTTATTTAAAACTACACGGCGCGGCGTTTCAATGCACAGTATAAAATTAAGTTGCTTTTTGCGTTTCTCTGTCTGTCTGTCTGTCGTATTCGCTAACTCCTCCTAAACTACGCAACGGATTTTGATTCATTTTTTTTTGTAATAGAATGATTCAAGAGCAAGGTTTAAATAGATAGAGTGATTCAAATGGAAGGTTTCGTTTCTTCCCAAGTGTCACATAAGTGCAAGGATTACTACTGATTTTGTTACTATTCATTCTCTCAAATACACACATAATATCACGCAAAGATCACGCCTATATCCCTTGCGGATTAGTCAGAGCCTAATCTGACATCTGAAGATTTACACCACGTCTGACAAAAGTTTGAGAGTCATTTAAAACTATGTTTAGAAGACTGTATCACCCACCACAGTGACAGGGGTTTCAGCCTATTGCCCAAAATCGCAATACACATCACACTCAAATACTTTAGGCGCTTCTTACGACGCCCACGGAAAAGATATGGGGCGATGCTATTCTAAGACGGTACCACACGGAAAAAGTAATCGAGGGTTTGTATAATCGCAAGTCTGTCGTGGTCCCACTACCTGGCGCGATGCCAGCGGTTAACTTAAAGCAGAGAATAATCGCCTGAATGGCTTCAATCGCCCTTTTTTAAGTCAACCAGGGTTTGCTTTAAATGATAAGTGCAATTACAGTAGCATCAGACAGTACAAATACTGAAAGTTGCAGGTTCAAATCCTGCCTGCGGCGGAAAATACTGCGTTTTGTCGTACGAATGTAAGAATCACATCAGATATATCATATCACATCAGCAGTAGAATGCTGGACGTAGACCTGTCCCAGGATACGCCATAAGGCACGATCTACCGTTTTCGCCATCCAGTTGCTACCAGCCTCCATGTTTAAGTCAACGGTCAATCGGTCTATCTTGCCGGACGGCGTCCAAAACTATGCTTGTTACCCTCAGTTTTTTTCGGAATATTCCCAATAGGTGTCAAGTTCTGGTTAGATACTCGAAGCGCCAATGTAATGCACTGGGCTAAGATCGGTCCAAAGTCCAAACTGTCTAACCCAGCCTGAGTCTAACTGTACCTACTTACTTTTCCGTGGCCGTAGTCGTTTGTATAATCGCAAATCTGTCATGCCAGTGGCTGGCGCAATGCCAGAGTTTATCTCCGAGCAGAGCTGATCGCTTGAGAGGCTCCATTGTCCCCCACCCGCCATACCCCGGTCAATTTGCCCCAGCCGCGATACAGACTTATGCTGATTTCTAGATTTATTGGCTATTTGCATCGGATTGCCTACATAGCAGGCGTTTAGCATAACTTTCGATGTTTACAAGTTTGCCGTTTTTCTTGCCATAATCTTAGTTGTTTGTTTGGGTCTTGTATCTTTCCCTGTAGTTTCGGTTTTGAAACGCCTTTAGGTTTGTAAACTTTGACTACGACGGATGTGCCCAAAGAGTGCTGAAGGCTTTATTTCGCTCGGGATATGATAAGGATTTATTTTCTTTTGTATAAGGTTATTTTTAGCATGTTTCTGTGTATGTCAATTTGTGTCCATCCATCGCACCCCAAAACACGGAAGTCTAGTAAGTCCAAGAGTTGGCATAACAGAATAGGAAATATTTTTCTCTTTTGCCAGTTCTAAAAATATACGCTTCGTTCGCTGATAAGGAAGAAATACGGCGTCCGAAACACGATTTTCTTTGTATGTCTACTCTCTCTGTATGGCACCCCAAATATGGCACAATAGTAAGTCCAAGAGTTGGCAAAATAGAATGGGAAATATTTTTCCTTTTTCCCCGTTCCAAAAATATACGCTTCGTTCGCTGATACCCCGTTGCTATCATAAAGGAAGAAATACGGCGTCCGAAACACGATAAGAAAGCGGAAGCCACTCGCCCAACATTAGCACAACTCCGCCATTTCTTTTTAAGGTGGTTCGTTACGTCATACAAACGAAAAACTGCACTTCAGTCGGGTTACACATGAGCTGTAGAGTTTCTTTTTAAAGAAACTTTATTCTGAATGATGAAGGCACACGTAAATTTGTCGCAAAACTACTTATAGTTAAAAGATAATCAGTATTTTCTGCACAATAAAATTAAACGTATTTATTGCAGCAGTAGCTCCATCTATTTTCGTAAAGTGGCGACTCGCTTTTTACGGGGAAATCTGATGATTTAAAAATTCTTTTTAGTGTTTTGCGACAATCTTATATACCCACGGGACTCCCCATCAAGTTTTTTAAACCGACTCTTGTCTCCTTTACATACATAACTCCATTGAACTTTTGTATGGAAAACGGAACGCCTTAACTATTCGCAGCTAAGGAATACATTTCGGCACGGTACAGTCTCTCCCGCTAACTCATGAATATTCTTAAGTAAATGTTATTGCACCTAGAAAGTAACAATTAATGCTGTTGAATGCGACAGTCTAAAAAATATCGAAAGAGTGCCCAAAAAGTGTTGAAGGTCTATTTCGATATGTCGACCATTTCTTTTCTTTTGTATAAGGCTTTTTGTGCAATATGCATGTTTCTGTGTATGTCTACTCTCTCTGAATGGCACCCCAAACATGGAACTCTAGTAAATCCAAGAGTTGGCAAAATAGAATAGGAAATATTTTTCTCTTTTTCCTCCTTCTAAAAATATACGCTTCGCTTGGTGATACCCCGTTGCTATCATAAAGGAAGAAATACGGCGTCCGAAACACGATAAGAAAGCGGAAGCGACTGCCCCGACATTAGCACAACTTCGCCATTTCTTTTTAACTATTCGCAAATGATTCGCAGCTAAGGAATATATTTCAGCTTCGGTACAGTCTCTCCCGCTAACTCAGGATGCTATTTTTAAGGTTTTGATTTTCCTGTGATAGATAAGCCGGACAAAAAAATACGTTGCACGGTTCAGTAAATGTTGTTGCATCTAGAAAAGTAAAAATTAATGCTGTTGAGTGTGTCGCTCTCTGAAAAATATCCAGTGCTGTTTATGAGCTAGCAGGACGCAATTTACAGTGTGTAACATCGAAAGTAGTGGATTCGAAGCTTGCTGGTGCGTAATTTTTGGTGCCTTTCATTTAATTTACAATGTAGAAACTAGAAGCCAAGGCGACGTAGGGCTGAATATCTATCTACTATGGTTAACATGGTTAACCACATGGTGGCGGTCATACCTACAATAGCATTCTCAAAGAGGGCTGACGTCAGGCAGGCGAGCGGTCATAAAACCTTTTGCAACATGATTTTGTGCACTAACGAAAAATTACGCCGACCCCACTTATGATATCATTGGGATAAGGGCAGGCAGATGATATGAGAAGCCAAGACATTAAGCTAGAGTGAAGTATATTGCGCATTTTGTTCGTCCTTTCGTTTCACCGAGTAGAATAACCTCTTAACGCTCTTTGAGTCGTGGACAAGACACTTATTGCAGGGACGGGGTAGCGTTTTATGACCCCTCGGGTCCTTGAAGAGGTCAGAGATATATGATCTTTCAAGGGAATTTCGAATTAGAAAATGTACTTAGAGAAAAGCAGGGTTTATTTGTGAAAAGCACGTCGCGGGAGGTGAATTTGTTTTCGTATTTCTATGAAAACAAAAACAAATTTACCTCCCGCGTACTAAAATATAGGCCTTTGAAAAAAAATACTATAGTTTTTTCTTCTACTAAGCGAAGCATTGCGAAAAAACTGTAGAAAGGGAACGAAACTCGAAACGACCTTCTAGTTCTGAATCTAACGCTTGATTAAATAAGGCCAATTTGCTATAATAACTAATAGTTTATTTAATGCCGCTGTGGAAATTTAATTACATGATCTGGATGTAGATTCAATAAAATGTAGAAAATTAACTGCAATTATTTTAGGTAAGGGGTGAATCAGTGCATAATACTTTGGCTGTATCTCAGAACGATAATTTTGCACCTAAATCATTATGGCACAAATATCTCCAATTCTGAATCGTTGACATTATTTCTCCTAAACAATTTTTGGGACCATTCCTACTCTGAAAATACCTACCTCCGTCCATTCTGCTCGCACAAAAGTTAGATATTCATAAAATGAATACCTATTTAAGTGTCGTGTCACGGGACTGAGACTGCATAGTCCGTTTGCATCATATGACTATGATATTTAATGACATCGTGAGATGAGGTGAGCTGACAAACATTACCAGCCGTGATGAAGCAAAGTGAATCCGACTTTATTGTGCACCTAGAAAGATGCGATACTTATGTTTCTAAGACAGACTTTCTAAACGAAAAAAACATTATAATGAAAGTCAGTAAGTTTTAGGATATGCGAGGGGCATATTTAGGCGATACAATGAACACTATTTGCACACTTGCTTAAAATCATTTAACAGGTGACAACTTATTTTCAAGTTCTATATCGGTCAAAATAAGTCGGTTAAATATACCTCGAGTGTTAGTTAATTATACCTATATAGTGTTACCGGTGCGTGTCACGCTACTAAGACTGCCGGTCTGTAATATTTAATGGCATGATGAGGTGACAAACACCCACACACACACATGAATGTAACGAAGCGGCAATTTTCATAGAAATGGCGGTGGTGTCACGTACATTCGCGCAAACCTATTAATTTCACAGCGGACAAACAAAGCCTCTGACACGCCATGTCCTACTATGTTATTAATGGTTTAATTAGC